GGCGAGTAGAGGAGAATGGATTGCAGCCATCTCCCTTGGGGGATGATTTCTCTCTTTCTGTCTCTCTAGTGAGCACACATGGCCTATAGCAAAAATCTAGCTTAAAGGGAGACCAGCAGTTAGTGTAATGGCTATGTTGCTGGACTCCCATGTAGTTGACCGCGGTTCGCATCCCGGACCCGGTGGCTTAAAACTCATGCCGGGCGCGTGTGTGTGCGTGCCCAAGATCCCGAGAGGAGAATGGAGGAGAAGGGATTGCGGTGTGGCCATCCCCCCTGGGGGATGATTTCTCACTTTCTATCTCTCTGTCTCTCTCTCTCTGTCTGGCGAGCGCACGTGCCCTATAGCAAAAATCTCTACAAAAAAAAAAAAAATCTAGCTTAAATACTTAAATAAATAAACTTAGTGGGCTAGCAGGTGGTGTAGTGGTTAAGACCCTGGATCCCCACGTGACATATTGTACACTTTGAGTCCCAGATCTACCCTCTTGAAAAACACCAAAATCCCAAGAGGAGAATGAAGGAGCAGGGATTATAGTGTGGCCATCCCCCTGGGTAGTGATTCCTCACTTTCCCTCTCTTTCTCTCTCTAGCAAGTGCATACACCCTATAGCAAAAATAAAATTTGACCCATTCATGGCAGCACCAACATTAGAGGCACTGCTCCATGGTGCTGGAGGCTATATAGGAAGTCTCTGGGTTTGAGTCCCAGGTCTACCTGAGCATTCTGGTCACATCTGTGATCCAGCTGGTTGCAAGGCTAGAGGAACAGTTGCAGCATAAAGATCCTATTGAGAAGGGCTGTCCCTTTCTCACAAAAAGAAAATAAATAAAGTTTAAAAAAAATTAAAAATAAATAAACTTTTGGAATATAACCAATTTAATTTTCTTTTTTTTAGTTTTGCTATGAGGTGCATGCACTCACTGGAAAAAGACACATACAGGGGGTAAGAAAAAAAAAAGAGAGATCATCTCACCTCTCATAGGGGATGGCCATGCCACAGTCCCTTTTCCTCCATTTTCCTCTCGGTATTTTGGGCACACATAATTCTCCTGGCATGTTTTTGAAGCTGCTAGCTCTGGGACTTGAACTGTGCAATTGGCATGTGGAATCCAGCTGCCTTAACCACCACACCACTGGCTGGTTCAACCAAATTTAAGATCTGAAGAGTACATTTTTCTTTAAAACTAGAGGAAAAAGATTTGCATTGCTTGTACTTTCTTGTTTATTACCTCCAGGCTTCAGATCAATTTGTTTTTAGTGATGGTCTTTATTGACATGGGACTAGATTCATAACTTTCTTTGACTTCAGTGAGAGATATAACCAAGGAAGAAATCTGTGAAGATCCTGGACTCCTCTGTTCTTGTGGAAAGTTGTTGAAACTAATTTGTCTCTATCCCCCAGCAATTCCAGAGATAGCTTCCCAAGACATACTTGTCTTCTTGAAGAGATAACTTTCATTTTTCCCATTAGACTCTGTCAACCCTGGTAGGAAACTAACAGATTTTTTATCTGTAGAATAATTGTGTGTCGTAGATGGTGGAGTTTTGTGCCAGAATGGGGGGCCATACCAGCTCAGAATGCTTTATATCCTCAAAAATCAAGACTTCTCAACAAGATGAGCCTCTTTCATCCTTCATCCAGCATTTATGAAGTACCATCTCATAAACACAGTGCTCAGTACTGAGGACCCAGAGAATATGACATAGACCCTGCCCTCAAGGAATCATGGTTAAGGAGAAGAGACAGCAGCACCCTGAATTAGGTACCTCAGTAGACACCCATGCTAGGCACAACAGTATCACTGAGAGGAGGGTGACTCATCCAACTCAGAGAGGTCCTTTTTTTACTTTATTTGGTCCAAACCTTAAGTATGCAGTATTGATCTTGGAAAACAGCAGCGTATTCATCACAGAAAACATCATTTTCCACCCCATATTCTATCTTTTAAGATCTAAATTCATCACCCAAAGTATTTTCTCCACTACATTCTTCTTATATCAAGATAATCCTGGGGAACCAGCAGTTAGCGTAATGGCTTTGTCGCTGGACTCCCACATAGTCGACCACGGTTCGTGTCCTGGACCCGGTGGCTTAAAACTCACGCCGGGCACGTGTGCATGCGTGCCCAAGATCCCGAGAGGAGAATGGAGGAGAAGGGATTGTGGCGTGACCATCCCCCCTAGGGGGTGATTTCTCGCTTTCTGTCTTTATGTCTCTCTCTGTCTGTCTGGCGAGCACACGCGCCCTATAGCAAAAATCTCTCCAAAAAAAAAAAAAAGATAATCCTGCCCATTCAGTGAGATTATCTTAAGCTTATGTGCAGATGAAGCACTTCCTGGTTGTAATTATTTCTGGGTCAAATTACTGTTGATTTTCTAAGAAGTAAGAAGTCAGTAGCACTTTTGTTCGAACTCTGTTAACAAACACTTCTCTAAGTGAATGTTGCTAGTATCGTTATTTTAGGTGGTTACTAAGCTAGCCTAAAACTGAACTATTTCTTGATCATCCATGCTTGTTCAGTGCACACTGTCAGGCTCAGTTTAGGGTTCTCAAAGACCCTTGCCTCATTGCTTTCTCCTGTTCCTGTGGTTTTCATTGCTCTCTTCATGACTCAGATTTCAGATTTCTTTTTCCTCCCAGACTCTTTGTTGCTTTTGTACTTTAACCCTCTTGGTTTTCTCAGGTATTCACCTAGATTTCTGTGGGCATCCTCGAGTTCAGGCCCTCAGTCACCTCCTGTCATTTAACAGACCTTTCTTTGTGCTCTGACAATATCTCTAGTTTCTCAGGTTCTTAGGTTTAGTGCTGATTCTTGGCTGTATGATTCTTGACCACACCTGTGCTTGGCAACCTCCAACTTTCTTAAGTCCTCTCCAGCTCCACTCAGAGAAATTCTGCCCATCTCCTTGGGTTCCCTTCATAGTCAGTGGATGAGGGCCTCACTGACCTGAAAGATTAACTATGGGGCAACTGTTTACTCGTCCTTTGCTCACCTACCCCAGGTGAATAATTAGGTTTACTAAAGGTCAGCTGTGATATTTTTAGATCTGTTTATGCCACTGTATGATATTGTAATTATGAAATTTAATTAAATAATAGGTAGTAAAACAGGTGGTGTGGTGGTTAAGGCATTGGACACTCCCACATGGCCAACCATGGTTCAAGTCCCAGACCTGGTGGCTTGTTTTCTCACTTTCCCTCTCTCTGTGTGTCTCTCTCTGGTCAAATTAAAATAAGTGAATAAATAAATAAAATAAAATAAATATTTTTTAAAAAAGAAAGTACTACTATAAAGAAACCTATTTCTATTATGATGATGATGATGATGATGATGATGATTATTCTAAAATACATGAAATATAAAGTTCACCATTTTGGGGCTGACAGATAACACAGAGGTTAAGGCCCCTGGATATCATATGGCTGACTGTGCAGTTTGACCCATTAGCTTGAAAAACATGCCAGGCATGTATGCATGCATGCCCAACATCCTGAGAGGAGAATGGAGGAGGAGGAATTGTGGCATATGGCCGTACATAACCCCTGGGGGCTGCTTTCTCACTTTTCCTCTCTCTCACTTTCTGTCTATGGCAAGCACACATGCCCTATAGCAACACTAAAATAAAAAGTTTACCATCTTCATTTTCAAGTTTACAGTTCTGTGGCATTATGTACATTCACATGATAGTACAACTGTCACCGTCATTCATCTCCAGAGTTCTTTGTCTTACAAAACCCAAACTGTACTTATAAATAACAATTCACCATTTCCCTCTCCTCCCAGCCCCTGGCAACCATGACTTTACTTTCTGTCTTTATGAATTTTACTTCTCTGGGTGCCTCCCCTTGTGACTGGCTTATTTCACTTTGCTTAGTACCCTCGAGGTTCATCCCTGGTGTAGTATGTGTCAGAATTTCTGTCAAGGCTGAGCAATATTCCATTCACATTTTATTTATCCATTCGTCTGTCCATAGACTCTTGGGTTGCTTCCACATTTTGGCTTTGTGACTAATACTGCTGTGAATGTGAGTGTACAAATATCACTTGGAGTCATGCTTTCAATTCTTTTGGGTGTATTCTTTTGGAAGTGAAATTGCTGGGTGATATGATAATTCTATTTTTAATTTTCTGAGGAACAACCACACCATTTGCAAAGGTGGGTTTTTTGTTGTTTTTCCTGCTACAGGGCGTGTGTGCTCACCATAGAGAGAAAGCAAGAAGAGAAGTCACCCCCTGGGGGGGATGACCATGCAGCAATCCCTTCCCCTTCACTCTCCTCTTGGTATTCTGGGCACACACGCACACACATGAACCTGGTGTGATTTTTCAGGCTTCTGGGTCCAGGAATCAGATGGCACAGTGAGCTATGTGGGGCCCAGCACCTTAAGCTCCTTGCCACCTGCTGGCCCCAAAGGGTCTATTTTTTTTCCCCCCCAAAGGTTTATTTTTGATCGAGAAACATAAAATGGTGGAGTTCCCCTGGGAGTAATCTAAAAATCAGTCTTGGTTTAACATTTTGTAAATTATCTAAATATGAGATTTTCACCATCTGTTATTTGCATTGTAGATAATAAATAACTCATATTGTATAAAATTTAAGAACACTTCTTGAGAGTACGTGTGTATATAGACAGAAAGTGGCTAATGAGGCTCAGTGGGCACACATATAAGGGAGCACACCTGCTTTATTACAAGGGGTCTTCAGAAAGTTCATGAGAGGGGGACCAGTCAGTGGCATGGTGGTTAAGAGCACTGAACTCCCACATGGCTGACCTCAGTTCAAGTGTCGGACCTGGTGGCTTGCTTTCTCACTTGCCTGTGGAGTCTGAGCTCTAGGGGTAGCTTTATGTCTAGCTTGTGACTCAGGACCCAGGACCCAGAATTATGTCTACCCCTCTGCTGCTGCGGGAAAAGGAAGCCTTCTGGGCTACCCTCTAACTACCCAGATGGTTACCCCAGAGGGCTCTGACCCTGCTTGTTTTTGCTTTCCCTTAGGTACACTACATCCTGCAGGAAGTGGTGATGGGCGGGATGGTGTTAGAGACAAACATGAATGAAATTGTGGCTCAAATTGAAGCTCAAAACAGGCTGGAGAAATCTGAGGTGAGTAAGTAGCTGTGTGTTTGCCTGGCTAGGCAGGGCAGAGAGAGGGAAGAGTGCATTTGTTGGTTTATGTGGAACCTTAGAAAATGTTTTATGCTCATCTTCTTTCTCCTTTGAGTCTATCAGAACTGACTGGCTTGAAGCTAAGTTCTGAAAAGTAAACAGATAAGGTTTATAATCTCAGGCATTCAGGCCAGAGCATGGATGGAAAAGCCAGATGGCAGAAGAAGGCACAAAACTCTGGCTTTGGGCCCTCGGCCCTGTTTGTGGTTCATAATTCCTCTTTCAAAGCCACATGTTCCCCAGAGGAACCCAGAATCCCTGTCTCCAGATCCAGTGTGGTTTCCTGGTGTGTACTGTATGAGTCCCATCTCCCAGCAGCCTTTTCTCATGGTGTCTTTGAAACCTCAGAGCTGCCTGTTTCCTTATTTCCAGCTTGTCTTACAAAAAACTACAGTAGAGTTTGGATTCTATTTGAAGATAACATGCCCCAGTCTACCTCCACATAGGACTGTGCTTCTACAAATACTCACAGTAATTCTGTCCTGTACCCCTGGGTCTCTCCATCCCCTTCCTTAGCCATGTCAGGAGACAGTGGTCCCAGGCATCCACCTTCACACATGGCAGAAATGGCTGAACAAGTGACCTCTTCATTCATCTGAGTGTCTTAAAGAGCTTCTTTGCTTTGAGTAACTGAACTTGATCTTGGGAAACCAAGAATTCCGAGAGGACTAGCGGTCTCGTTGAAGAAGCTCTTCCAGACCACAGCTATTGTGGCAGCTATAGTTCTTTAGAGATGCAGGCTGGGAAGCTTCCAGAAATAGTGAATGAGTCAGAGGCAGGAGGCTGGAAACCAGAAGTGAAGACGTGCTGGGCGAGGGTGGAATTGGAGTTGGTATCCTGAAATTGGTCAGCAGAGAAACAGTGATTTTGAAAGAACCTTTGTCAACTTCTCCCCTTGTCTCCACGCTGGGAGTGAGCCTGGAGGTAAAGGCTGACCGTGGACACCCTTGCTGTGTGTCCTTCCTTAGCAATCCTTCCGTGTCTGGTACACCCCACCTCCTGCGTGTCAGTGAGTCCCAGCTTGTTGCCACATGACATTTCCAGAGCCAGCGCGTTTCCATCTCACATTATTAGTTGGCAAGCAGCAGCCCTAGAGCTGTGACATTCCTTTTCCTTTAAGAATTTCCCTGTGAGTTTGCACTTGTCTGTAAGAGTCTTCCGCCTCTTGAGGAAAGCAGTTTTTGTTCTGTTTTGTTTTTTAGGTTTTTTTGCTACAGGGCGTGTATGCTCACTGGAGAGACAGAAAGATGTTAAAGGAGAAATCATTCTCCCCCACAGGGGATGGCCATGTCACAATCCCTTCTCCTCCATTCTCCTCTTGGGATATTGGGCATACACGCACGCACGCACACGCGGCCAGCATGAGTTTTAAGCCACCAGGTCTGGGACTCAAACCATGGCCAACTAAGTGGTAGTCCAGCGACATAACCATTACGCCATCTGCTGGTCCCAAGGAAAGAGTTTATGTTTAGTTTGGTGACTAGAAAAGTGCCCCAGTACTTATGAGACGTGAGGCAACCACCTCAGGTTGTTTTGGTCAGCATTTGTTGAGCACCTGTTAGATGCCCAGGCCAGAAGACCACAGAAGACATGCCTGCCCTTGAGGAGCTTGGAGTCCGGGAGGTGTACAGGCTTCAGATCCCTACGCCAAACCTATGTATAACCTATTTTGTGGGGCCAGCAGATGGTATAGTGGCTGTGTTGCTGGATCCCCATGTGGCCCATTGCAGTTCAAGTCCTGGATCCTGTAGCTTGAAACTCATGCCAGGCACATGTGTGTATATGCATGACCAAGATCCCAAGAGGAGAATGGAAGAGAAGGGGTGATGATGTGGCCACCCCCCTTGGGGGGTGATTTCTCACTTTCCCTCTCACTGTCTCTGTCTGTCTCTCTCTGGCAAGTGCACACTCCCTAAGGCAAACACAAGAAGACTATTTTGTTGGCTATCTTTGAGGAATAAGAAAGAAGAATGAAAATTTGTGTGTGCTCAGTTTGGAATTTTTCTAGGCCTTCCCTTCACTTTTTTTTTTAAGCATTAAGCGGATGACACTTAAAACTGTCTCATGCTTGTCTTTCATTTCTCCTTCAGGGTGGCCTCTCAGCAGCTCCTGCACGGGCTGTGTCTGCTGTTAAAAATATCAATCTGCCTGACATTCCTCGGAACATCAACATTGGCGATCTCAACATCAAAGTCCCCAACCTGTCCCAGTTTGTCTGAGCGGTGAGGATTGGGCTGAACTGGAGTCCTTAAAACAAGCAAAGCCATGCAAGTTGGAAAATAGAACCCATTTTGAGCCTTAGAAGAGTCAAGCCTCAGGAGCCTGACCCTTTCTGTCTGGGGAAGACCGTGTGGCGTGAAGCAAGCGGGGAAGGGATTTCTATTTATCAGCTCTCACGTGTGCAGCCGTGCCACTCTCTGATACATGTAGCCAGCGCAGACCTGAGGGGCTTGCCTGCCTCGGTGGGGAGTCAACGTGACCAAGCCATTCACACCTGTATTTCCTGCACATAGCCACTTTCAGGACTGTGTCAAGTAGCCCCGTCTACTTCCCAGAACCCCTCCACTAGGACGGAACCCAGCCACTGACTAGTCTTTATCTTTAACCCCACAGCTTCCGAATTCCTGTAGCATTTACTTGTTGGTGAGGTGCCATAGGCAGGAAAGGACTGGCCCTACAGAGTAAGGGGTTTGGTGTATGGCAAGTAAGGGCAGGATTTTATGAGAACGAGGGTTACCTGCAGGCCCTACTAGGGCTGTTACACCCAGAATCCTTTCACATAGTCAAGCTTTCTGGTTCCCGACTCTTACAGAATACACTTCCTCCATGGCACAGTCCCAGTTCTGGCTCACAGGTATTTATGTGCAGGACGCAATCCAAATCATAGTGTTGGGGCATGCCCACTTCATTTCTGCTCATAACAAAAGCACACCCCACACACAGACCAGAGAGGTCCTACCTCACAGAGGAACAATCCAGAACTGCAACTTTCTGAGGTTAAAATGCACTCTCCTGGGAGCAGAAGTTCAATTGCTGGGCCATGAATGGTGAGTGGCTTCAGCAGGGAACCCAC